AACAAGTAAAAATGTTGGCTGGAGAGGTGGCATTGTGTATTAGTTCTCTGAAAAGACTGTCTGAACAAGCAATTATCAAGCCTGAAGATATCCAATTACAAGTGAGTATTTATTTAAGATTGATAAATGAAGAACAAATTTAGTTTTCATGATAAAATTGGGTGTGATATTTTGGTGATAATGACAGGCAGACATGCATAAGTTGAAGGGTGAAATTAGCCAAAAGAAGAATCAAATCCGTATCCTGGAGCAACGGATGATTGGATCACTTGGACATGCACCAAGTAACAGTGAAATGTCGCAGGTAATTGTAAAACTAAAATATACTTAAAGCCGCCTTATAAATACAGCTATATTTGGTGAAGAACAATTGAAAGGCTTATATTTCGAAACTTGTAACATCTTGCTGTTTTTTCATGCTATATAAATTTGCATTGTGTTATAAGTTTAATACCACCAAATATCATTATAGGAGTGATTGGTTAAATCCCAGAGTTTCATGTTATAGCTTATAATACATTAATTATGATGAACAATAACAGAATTTTATCTTAATAAAGTTTCTCCATGGATTTTTCTTTAAACTAGTAATTGTCATCATCAACCCCCACATCCTCATTTCATCCTTGCTTTCTCAAATTCAACATGATATTGTGGTCTTCAATCTCCTCTATATACTCTTACCTGTCCACTTAAACTTAAAGTCAATGTAAAGTTGAACTTAGAAATCTTGGGGAGTTAGTTTCCATCTTAAAACCATTTGGCCTAGTGTAAAGTTGCCGAGAGGATATATATACGGCACTGAATCTAGGCAGATGATGCGAGACTTTCCAACACCCTCCTCCACAGATGCCTACCAAGCCAGGTGATGCACAGAAAAACTGATGGAAACCCCATCCACAAACAACAGAAATGGGTCTGGTACTGTGTTAGGTTTCAACTGCAAACCAATTGGCCATAAGTGAAGTCACCCAACAGCTATGTAAATAGTATTCTGTAGTTGATGCAGGTGATGGGGGACTTTCAAATAGAAAGGGTGTTACTAGACTACTTTTAATAGAAATTCCTGTAGTTAGCCGTGGTCTTTAATCCAATGGGTACCACTTCTGCTATTTGATTAGGGTATCCCTATCTATGCTCAACCACTGAGGACGTGCCGATTGATTTTCTCTTTTTCCTCATGAGAGACCCTTCCGCATTTTTTCTTTCGGGTAAAAAGATAAGACCCATCGTACCCAAGCTTTAAATACAAGAATTTTCAGTAGTTTGTAATGACTTTTCTTTTTGTTCACAGGGTTGTTAATGATAGCTTATATTCCAACGTATTGACATAATTCCTTTTTTTAAATAAAACAATTGGAGTATGTTTTATTGGTATACTTCAACTAACACTTTACTTAATCTGTAATGTAGGCTTTATCCAAGCTTACTAGTGAGCTCAATGAAAAAATTTTTGAACTTGAGGTTTGTTGTCTTACTCTTATGCACTTGTTAGCTTTAGGATGGTTTCAATTTCATTTATAGCATAAATCTGAGTATTATACTAAGTGTTCTCATTTTAATTGAGCATTCAAGATCAAGTCTGCAGATAATAGGATACTTCAAGATCAACTACAGTTGAAGGTATATTACGCAATTGTATGGCATTTTAAAGGGACTTGTTGCATTTCCTGACATTTGCAAAAATCTGACAGAATTCAGAGAATGCTGAGATGCAAGAGACAATTATTTCACTAAAGAAACAGATAAATTTGTTGCTCGATAAAACCTCAGCTAATTCTCAGCAGGTTGCTGATGGTGAGGCCGATTCTTCTACAGAGATATTGGGAAAGACTGATGAAGCATGGCCAGTCAAGAACTCAAATTCAATAGTTTCTCAAGCACACTCCAAGCAAGGAAGTAGTGAATCTATTATAAATTCTCAAATTCTTATGCAGGTCATCTCTTTTCCTCCCTCCCTCTCTCTTTCTGGCACCTTGTGCAGAAGGAAACTTAAAAAACTACTGTTGGCATCATAGATAATCATGAGAACTGATTCCTATATTCTTTTGGCATATTTGCATTCATAGAAGTGATTTTCTTTTCTACTATTAAATTGCACAGGCAGCTGAAATAGAGAATTTAAGGCAAGAGAATGTGAGATTGTTTGAAGAGAAAGATGGGCTTGAAATTCAAAGCCAGAAGCTTGCAGAGGAAGCTTCATATGCAAAAGAGTTGGCAGCAGCTGCAGCAGTTGAACTCCGAAACCTGGCTGAAGAAGTAACTAAACTTACTTATGAAAATGCAGAACTGACTGGTGATCTGGCAGCTGCAAAAGAGGTCTCTTGCAAATCTAACTTTTCTTCAATATCTTCCTTATATGACTGCAAGCAAAATATTAATAATAGTTTTCAACGAGATGCACAATCGAAAAGGCTGGGGAATGAAGTTCTTATTGAGGAGTTGCAGAAGGACCTTAATGCTAGATTCCAAAGAGAAGCTGCATTAGAAGCAGCTTTATCTGTGAAAGATGAAATAGAAGCTGACTTAAGAAGGACAGTTGATGAAATAAAATACCAAAAACAAGATTTGGAATATGAGCTTGCAAGCATGCGGATGCTGGTAGCAAAGATGAGAAAGTCTGGAATTAATGTCGAGGATAAGTCAACATTTCTTATGCCCATTGATATACAAACCAAGGTTAAAACTGGACTTCCAACATCTAATGGCTACTCTCATAGAAAACAGTACAAAGAGGATGAGACTTTAGGAAGCATTGAAGATATGATTGCATTAGAAGAACTGAGGGCTAATTATGAAAGCGAAAGAAGAAGATGCAATGAACTAGAAAGTCATATTTCTATATTGAAGGTATCTTATTCTCATTTTCACATTTCATATTTCATCTTTGTGCCATGATAATATTATTCATGGCCATAATCTGCACCGATTCTGGTTGACCTTTTAGGTGACCCTTTTTTCGAAGAAAGAGAAAATTGAGATAAGGTAGATTGGAAAGGAAATATCAATGAGATGTACCTTCATGATATAATTAACTTATATAGAAAGTTCTATAAATCTATAATTAATGTGAATACTAATTTCTATCAAGGAAACAGAACTAGTAAAAAACATGGATATAACCTTTCAGTGAGGATAGGTCGGACTACAAGTGCAGCTGCTAGATATGGCTGTTAAAGAATGGGCTTCAAAGTCGATGGGGCTTAAGGATTCTATATGTTATGTTTGGAATTTAGACATTGAATTAGGGAAAGATAGATTTTAAAAGTGAAAAAATAAATGCTTAAATAAATCTATTTGCTAAATCTCTAACAGAGCTTAAGGTTGTCAAATGAGCTTAAGGTTCTCAAATGGCCGTGGTAGGAATTTTCAAAGAAGACTATGGATCGGCAGGAATAACGAATATGGCTTACGAAATTCAGGAAACTGTTCATCTGTCTGGTTTGATTAGAAAGATTCAAATTCCATAGAAAATAGTTATAGACAAGTGCTAGTTGCTTGGTATTTTAAACTTGATCTCCCTAGTTGCGACCTTCTATGTGCACTCATGATAGATGTTCATTTGAAGAGTAGGAATTATAAATAGCACAGAAGTTTTAATTTCGAAGGTGGTCATATATCTCACATCACATAAGCCTAGACTTGGTTTTCTGATTGCAAGTGACATCACTTTTAAGTTCAACTACGAAATAGGGTGAAGATATCGATGCTCTGGATGTTATGGCCCTTGAGGAGCTTCAAAACCTTCATATTGAGGCAATAACAAAGATTTGCCATGCAAAGGTGACATTTCATACGTTCCTTTCTTTCAAAATTAAATTGCTATTGCCAAGTCCTAATGAATCTCATTGAGGTTGTGCTTCTGCCCGTAAGATTTTGATATATATATTTCCGAGTCATTTTTTGTACATTTATGAGCCCATTTGTTCCAGCTGTTTTCATGTTTTTTTATATTTTGAAAAAATGACTTTTAAAAACTTAGTTTTTGTATAAGCTGATGAAAAAATCATAATCTAAAAAATATCATTTTTTTAATCATTTTGACAATTTTCAAAACAAGAAATTATTACTCTCTTAAAATAAAAGCGTTTTTAAAATTAATAAACAAAATATACCATTTGCATTTTTAAAATCTCTAAAACATAAATCACTTTTTGATACATTAATTTTTAAAGCTTAAACAACCAGTCCCTATATCCTGGAAAAATAAACATTAGCTCTCAGTCTTAAAGAAGCTTTCTTACCGGCTTTTAGTCCCACTGCTTGATGCTAGATATATTTTAAAATTGACTTTCTAAAATACTTTCTAATACCACAAATCATGTTTTATTTACAACTGATAACTTCCTTTATCTCCTGTATGTCGAGACATTTTCTTTTGTAACGCTGGTTGCTTAATTGACAATTATAGAAGAATATCTATATCATGAATTTTCAATGTCTTAAAAGGCTGCATATGTTGAGACAAGTCATGTCAATTCCAAATTATCGACTTTCATTCACCCGTTTATGAAAAGGAATTGGTATTTCAGGAATCAGGAAGAAAAACAAAGGACATGCTATCCTTGTTTCTTATTCAACAGTTGTATTTTGAGCAGTTTTCCTACTTGTCTCTTATCTCCTGCCTAATAATCTCTTATGACTAACCTGTCATGGCTGATGAAGGTTATTATACAACTTGCAGTATGCAAATCAAAACCTGTAGCTTCCTACAATTGGCTGCTGTAGTATTGCCACGGGGTTTCTGAAGTTGGTATCAAGCTATAAAATTATGCACTCCGTGAATTATATTCCTAATTTAGGGTGTTTTAACTTAATATGCACTTTCATTGCAGGTACCGTATACTTTGTACTCCTACAAACTACTGACAATCACCTCTCAACCGTCCTTGTGCTGTTGTATGTAAGCAGTGAAGGCTTATTCTCTAGTTTAAGTGAATAACTACTTGCTACTGATGGGAATTGAGGCCCCTATAGTTGATTTTTTCTCTAGCAAGGATCAGTAACTCAGGGCCTTGAATGTTTTAAAAGTAGTCATTTACAAATTCATCAATTGAAACTTATGAAGCATAAAATATTGTAAGCTGACAAAACAAAAACAGTATCTATGTATATATGTTGTAACATATGTAATTATAGCTGCTATCTAATGTACATCCGAGTATCCTCTGCCCAAAAAACTCATTGGCCAGTTGTTACTTCATAAGATCCTGTGCACTGATCCCCAAAGATACCCAAATTGACTGCATATGGGGGTGGAAAATTACCTTCAAAATCACGATCCACACTGTTACAGGAAAAAAATTTCTTTACAAGACATTAAGACTTCGGCGATCACAATTACATGAGAAATCACAAGAGATAAATGTGTTACTTGGGAAGCCTATCACAACTGGAAGAAACCCATCCAATCTGCTGTTTATCGTTATCATAAATCACCATTTTATCTTGTAGAGAGATGTCTGAGAGCAAAAGAAAGTGTATTACCATCAAATTATCAAATAAATTAAAAAGAAAAGAAACAAGTGGAATTGCTTGTGTTTTGTTGAATTTGGCATGCCTTACCTCCTATTATGTTAAGATTTTCTAGTCCTACTTCAGTGCCATCTAGAATTCCCAAGCAGACATTGCCATGTTTCTAGAAAAGTACACATGTAAGACAATTTCATATTTCCCTTCTACCGAGGCAGAAAAGTTTTTCATAGTCTTAGATGCTCACAGTGACAATAAGATAAGCTTCTGGTGATAGATGCATCAGCAAATTCTTGGCTTTTGTGAAGCTCAATGCTATGGGCTTGAAATACTTCTTGACATCACTTAAAGATTTGAAAGACTTTGCACCCTTCCAACAAATTGGAAGTGATGGATCCTCGGTTGCTCTTTTCAACAGGTTTCCCTTCAAATCATTAGTTACCTGAATTATGGATCAATGATTATTAACTGAAAATGGGGCACTAATTATCTTTAGGCCATATAAGGCAATTAAAATTTATGTTCTGTAGTTTCCATCTTACCAAATCAACAATAGCTTGATAGGCCTGGGAGTTGAAGTATGTGTAAGAGCTCCCACTATCAAAGATAAGTTCAAGACCCTTAACAGTAGTAGCCTTTCCATTGAAAAACAGCTGTGCTGGTCCTGAGCTGTAGTGTTTTCTGAAGCAATGACTGCTTGTAAGTACTCAAGAGTGGCAACAGATCATACATGTATTAAACAAAAACATCTGACAAGGAGCAAAATCAACAAAAAAAAAAAAAAATCAATTTTAAAACTTACTCCGAAGAACTAGGCAGCATGGGTATCCAAACAATTCCTGAAGAGGGAATGAGATCATCTCCAAAGAATAAAAACCCTCCTCCTTGCCCACTCAAGCAGTGGCCAGCCACATTGCGGATCAGACCCAAAGAATGAAGCTGAGACAAAATGCTTGCTCTGCCGTTGCCAAGGCCAAGGACTCCAGCTGTAGAAGGTGGCGAAGTAGGACCTAAGTACTTCTGATCATATCCACACCTAGCCATGCATTAGACAAAGAAACATTCAATTATTCAGAAAGGTGAATAGCAAACTTTAGTTGTAAAGCCATGGTAACTTCTCTCCTGTGAAAAGCAAGCTCTCAATTCTGTTCTGTTGCCCTCTTCACTATTAAGCATAATTCACCATCAATTCCACTTGCGAGGATGGAAACAGAACACTCACCCAAAGGCTATCCTCGGCCGCACCACTGAGCCATTGGTGAATTGAAGGGGAATGTAGTCTCGGACCAGCACACCCAGAGATGATCCATGATCTGCATACTCAACCTCATAGTCACATTGGTCATCTGGGGTAGCACAGTTATAGTCTGTTGATGAGTGCACTTCAGCACACAATTGGTCCACACATCGCACAAGGTTGTTGTTGGGTTTATAAAGTTGGTTACGAGGCTGCAAAGATTGATGACACCAGGTGAAGAACTGATGCTCAAAACGAACAATGATTTGTTACAAGAGACCAAATCTAAGCGTACCTTGGTGCACCCTTTACATGGTGCATCACACTGAACCCAGGTGAGGTCGCTACCTGAGTCAATGTCAAGGTCATAAAGCTTCGGGGGATAGCCAATGTTGAGGGACACTGTGTAATGCCTGCATGAAGAATACATATATTTTTCATGGAACCTGTATAATTTAAATATGACAATTAAAACCAATTCACTTTAGTAATTCAACATATCATGTTTCCTTTTATTCCAAAGCTTGGGTAAATAAAAATTGACGTTTTGTATAAGAAGAGATGGGGTCCAATTTGAGAAGCTTTAAAAGGAGGAAAAGAAAGGTTAAAGGGTTCAGTCAAATCTCTAAAAATCAGAAATTGAATGGTAGGTAAAACTCAATGAAACAGCGGATAAACTCGATATAATCTGAAAAATCTAAGAGAAATGATCAAAAAACTAATTTTAAGTTTTGAAGAATTGATCAAAAACAGAATCCCATTTTTTTTAAATATGGGAAACAGATAAGAATGTTTTAAACAAATTAGCACCACTCAAATCAGAACACGGTTACCAGAACAAAGCTAGCCATCCAAAAGAGACAAAAAAAACAAAAGCAATTCGATTATACTAGAGACCAAAATTGAGATCAAAATGAACAATAAGCAAGTTGATATAACTTGATGAAGAAGTTTGAAACAAAACAGAGTCCAAAAACTCAACATAGGATTACAACATACCCAAGAGGGTATACATTCCCTTGAACCCTGAAAACAGCTGAGGAGCGAAGGCGATGAGTATCAAAAGATGGAGTGGTGGGTTTCTTGGCTTTGAGAGGTTGATTGGCAGCTGAGAAAGCGGGTGGGAAAATGGCAGAAAAAAGTACAAATAACAAAACTGTGTGCAAAACTATTCCCCTGCTTTTCACACCCATCTTTAGAATCAGAGATGCGGAAAAGGTTGCAATGATTCAAGGAAAGGTTGACAATGAAAAAAGTGATGAAAACCAAAATGAAATGGAATGAAAAGGGAAGGTTTTGGACAGTGAAATTAGAGCATTCTCTGGCGTGTCTGTTTTCTAGCTCAAGTTTTGGTCGGGTGGCAGTTGGCAGATACCAACATGATTTAATGCTTCATCTCTTTTTTTAAAAATTGAGAAAGAAAAAAACATAGTCTTTCTTTTTATTTAGTGCTGTATTTTTTAAAAATAAGTATTTTTATTATATTTTGAAAAATTAAAATTTATAATTGTCTTCTTAAACTTCAAACGCTGTGCATTACGTTTTAAGGAAAAAGGATTAATTTTGGGTATTATTATTTAAAAAATTATTAAATTATTACTTTTTCAAAACTAATTCTCTAGGGTGAATTTAGCCCTATGTCAAAAGTTTCATCAATGTTGTCAGGAAAATTATAATTTTTTTAAAAAAATAAATATCACCATAAAAAATGCAAAAGATATAGGATTGTACCAAGTCTCAGAGGCACAAAATTTGCAATACTAAACAAAGTTTTTTTTGGTAAAACATGGTGTAAACATATGGAATTGATTTAAGTTTCATTATTAAAATTGCAATACACTTAAAATATGTCATTATATGCGCAAAACTTACAAACATTTGGCTTTATCTAGTTATACTTGTAATATATCACTAAAACAGTGCGAAACTTGCACTTTTTTTTTTATTCTTGGGTTATTTTAGTATAGGTGAATTCTTTTGTTCAATTTTTTTATATAATATGGGATGAATTTTGCATTTGAAAAAAAACAGAAAAACAAATTTAAAAGACTACTCATACAAGGTTAGTTCTATTTAATTTTTTATAACATAGTGATATATTTAATTTATAAGTAAGAAATTAATTATTATTGTTAGTTTAATTTAAATTAAATATGTAAATAAATAATATATTTTTTTGAGAAATAAATAGATTTTTGTTGGAATTTATTTATAGTAGTCATACTTTTTTTTAAATAATTTTTTTTTATTTGTAAAAATGCAAGATAAGTGAAATTGTTATTATTGTATATTGGAATGGTAAAATTATTAAGAAAATGAAAGAGTGAACTTTGATAAATAAAAAAGTGATTAGGATAAAACGATGATAAAATTTTGAAGCTAGTATTAAAAAGATAAATTCATTTAAAACTTAATTTTATCATAATTGCATTATTTTAAAATTCATTTTATGTTTTTTTATTGATGAAAATATTAATAGTACATATCTTTGGAGACATGTAATGATGAAGACATTGATTGTATGATAAATGCATATCAACAAGTTGGTGGAAGTGTTATTAAATTATATGTAAATGTCGTGAAAGTTCATTAATTCCGTTCTAGATGTTGGGCTTAAATTTATTACTTTCACAACCAAGTGATAAAAACCTTTTGATTACTACAAAGATAAACTTGATATTTACAAACCTGAAATAGTAATAAATTTATTTATTAGTATTGAAAGTTAAGAATTTGTTACAAGAAAGGAATTAGAAATGATGATAAATATGAAGACTCAAATTATGGTGATGATAGATAAATTTTGTTAGATAATTCTTTTGATACTGATGTGAAAAGAAATTTGATTCCCACTTAAATATACCACAACAAGAAACACAAGGAAGTACTATGAACAAATGCTAAATACTGGTTTTTTTTATTTAATTATGTAATTAGTAATGAACACGGTAATTTTGTCGTATTTCATAAGAGAGTGAAAATCCTTTTTAGAATGTAATCTCGCACTATAATTATATTAATTGGAAACATTCTGATGAAGTTTATCCTAAGCCTCTTGAATTTCAAACCTACTAGGATTAGGACGTAATTCAAGCTACAAAACTCAACTCAAAATTGAGTATTTAAAAAACGAGAAAATTTTTTATGTTGTGAACCTTAATTTTGACTTAAGAATCACTAAAAAAGGAGTTGTAAATCATAAGATATGAGCAAAGGATATTTTGGTCACAATTTGGAGTTTGTTTGGAAAAAAAAGGCTATGAACCCTAAAATTTAGAATTGAGAAAAACGTATTGATTACCTTGAGAACTAAATAAGACGAAGGAATTATGGTAGGGATGGTGCCACAAATAAAGATTCTTGATAAGGCAAAGAGATTGCCACAAGAATGAGTGAATTCTTGATAAGATTAATGATTGTAAGGAAGAATCCTAGCAGAGAAAAATACTCTCTATAATCTGATTTCAATTATGTAGTGTCATGTAATATAATTTTCAACTGTTTTAGTAAAATTTAGTTTAAGAGTTTGTCCACATGAACTTGACATATTAAAGACAAAAACTAATCCCTTTAACACAAACATGATGTATATAGTGGTTAAGTGGACATATAATAACCTTAAGTGCTCAAGTCTTGTTGTAGGCAATAATATATATTTTTACAAAATACTAAAATAAATAATAATAATAATAAAAAGTTTTTCAACTTCATATTAAAGCTTTGAGCTCTTCTCCGCCCTCCCATTCCAAGTGAGCTATGCATGTGTACACTTTAGAATTCAAGTGTTGAGCTTCATCTAGCTCTTGTTGTGGGCCCTCTTAAGCCTTGTAATGGATCTCAGCCTCATCAATCTTAGAATTTTACAAGACCATCAAAAGCAGATTAATTGCACAAAAAGGCATTGGCTTATAATGAGGAAGGGTGACGATATGGATACATGACCATAAATCTTTTAGAAATATGGAGACCTTAATAATGGAGACAATTTTTGTCATAAAATATTATTGCATATTCATAAAAATTAACACAAAGCTTTTTCACACCAAGTTCGTTGGTATTACATACAAAAACCAAGTTTTGATGTTGAAGAAGCATTTATTAGCTAGGCACTTTGATAAGTCTCATATTTTAGTAGTTGTTAATGTATATTTTGACACTTATTTGCTTTCTTTTCACATAATTTACACTTAAATTTTATGCAATTTATATTTTAATGCATTTAAGTTCAATAACTTTATTTTAATTTTGTCAAATAATAGAAGATGATTGATGTACTTCTCTTGTGTGAATTTAGTTAAGGGCAAAGACTTGATAATGTATTCACATTTATAGCTTATTATATCTTCAAAATATCCTTCATATGTCTTATTTTGAGAGTTTTTACCATTTTTCATTTATAGAATGTTTTTCATAAATGTTGAAATTTCTTATTTTCAATCAATCTGACCTCTATCAACTTTTTTAGACATAACTTTCTCTACAGATATTATTTTTGACTGATTCTAGCTATATTGGATTCTACACATATAGGGCTTCAAAATGCATATATGGTTTGTTGGATTTGGAATTATTTTTTATTTTTTAAGATTTTTTGAAGATAAGTCAGATTTGTTAAAGTCGCCCAAAATTTCAAGTCTCGCTCAAGCGATAATTACTTCGCTTACACGAGAAATGGAGAATCCACACCATATTTTTTGTTGGTTTTCTCGCTTGAGTAAGATTAGCCCTTGCCTAGCGATAATTGACTTGCCTGAGCGAGAGTTTGAGCGAGAAATTCTACAACAGACTTTACTCTTTGACTATTTTTCGCTTGAGCGAGATTTGTCTTGCTTGAACGAGAATCTGGGCGAGAATTGACGCCTAAGCAAGAAATCCTACAACAAACTTTGGTCTTGAATTTTTTTTTTCCGCTTGAGCGAGAATTGACTCGCTTGAGCGATAATTCACTTATTCCCAAATCTATTAATACAAATCATTACTAAATAATATTATTTAAAATTCACATAGGTACATAATGAATAACGAAGTCATGTAAATACAATTTGATACAATTAAATTAAATATAGTTGATTATTGTTATAAAATTTTCTTAACCAAGTATAATTTTACTATATGTAATTCTTAAAAAAAATAAAGTATATAATATTCAACATAATGATTTTTCTAAAATTAAACACATAATCTATATTAAAAATACAAATTAAAAAAATTTCTAAACTTTGTTGAAGTACACTTCCTATCATTGAGTACTCATAGAAAAAGCAATGCATACTTTAACTTGAAAAAGTTAACAAATTACATAATTATATTTTATATTTTTTGAAAAATAAAAAAAATTATATAAAATGATTAATTCCTCAAATAATAACAAAAATATTCACATAAAATACTCTAAATCTGATCTATGCTTAACAAATATTTGGAACAAAAAACAAAAGGAAAGCTAGTATCAAGAAATACATGTCAACATTCCCATAAATTACTATGCTGGTTGCGAAACTTTCATCAGCTAGACACATTACATGATCTTAAATTTTAAAAAATAAAATAAGCTTTGCCAGCAGCAGTGATAATACTTACAACATGTTGCCACATTAGTTTTGAAAAAGTAATAATTTAATATTTTATTTTTCAAATAATAATTAAATAAAAAAAAGTCTAAAAGTCTTTTAGATGTTGCCCATTTGCAGATTTTAAAAGGTTTTATTTTGACTTCTAAAAGATTAAGCAGCAATGATAACTAATGCAAACATTTTATATTCTTTTGTTATTCATTTTATCATATTTAAAATTTATTTTCACAAATTATGAACCATGGTATATATGTTTGGAATAGATTCTATTTTGAAAGAGTTGAAAAAGCACTATCTCATTGAAAGGTTCTATATATCTGCCCTTTCTCAAGGCTGTGAATACTCAATTTTATCTAGGTCCTTGTCAAAAATAAATTTTAAAATAAAAATTAAATATAATAATTTCTTTTTTAAGAGGTTAAGAAAATAGATAAAAAAAACTAATTTAAAATTTAAATTTAAATTTTTAATTTTTAAATGTAAAATCATATTTAGAAATGGTAAAAGTAGTTAGTAGATTTTTAGGAAAATGGATAAAAAAAAAAAACTGATTACTGATCCTCGAAAAATAAGGGAGCCTTTATTAAGATCTAGGGTTTTAGAAAATGCCTATAAATAGGAAGCTTAGGTCTTCAGAGAAGGAGACTTTGGAGGTGGACACTTTTTATTTTTATGAGACCTCTTTGAGAGAAAATTCTAGAGAGAGCCTAGGAAACAAAGAATGAAAGAAGGACAAGAGATCAGAGAAAACTATCTAGCAGCGCCAAAAATCCTAAAACACA